TAGGACAGCAGGATCACTTAAGGCAAATATGGCAATAACAGCACAAAAAAAACTTCATGAACTCTCCATTTTAAAAAAATAAAGAATTTAGAAGTTTTTAAATGTCAAATACAAAATTTAATTTACTCTCTCATGATTTTTATTTAACTTTGGAGTACCTGTGCAGCTGACAGTATTCCTGGCTTCTGAAATCCCTCAGAAGAAACTGATTTTGTGGACAAACAGTACAGCTGTTCAATGAGTCCTACAGATAGATCACTTAAAAAAATCAACCCCACAAAAACACCGTAAGTTTGAGTTGTGATTGACAATAGAGTTTTTAAATGTTACACTGCTAGATTAACATCCTTTTGGAAATGCATACAAATTTCCAAATTCTTAATGCTAAAGAATATATACAAATTAAACACCACACCTGGCACATGGTAGGTATTCAGTATATATTTATGGAAGTGAATTAACCCAGCAACGCTCCCACTGAACTGACGTCTCAGGAACTCCCCTGGCTCACTTGTGAGCTTGGCTTTGTAGAAAGCCAATCCTCTCTCTCTTCCTCACTGTAGCATTCATGTTGAACCACTGGGCATCTGGTTATGTTTCTAACGCCAGTATTATAACAGTACAAAGGATACCATATGGAACAACAGTTATGACAGTAAATAAGCTTTATTCTAAATCCACTACCCACTATCTCATGTGCCAGCAGTCTGGAAAATATAAACAGTGGTTCTGTGCTAGGACTGGTGGAGCAGCCTGAAAAAAAAAATCAGAGCTGACAAGTCAGCATTGGTTAAAATTATGATCCAACCAGAATTAAATGAAACACTGGAATTATTTTTTTAAAGTTTCTTTTAAGAAGAATCTATATTTAAGATGTAATAGTAACCAATTTTCTTCTAAATATTGTAGGAGAGCTAAAGTTACTGTTAGTATTTTTTAAAAGTCCACTCTAAATGTGCAAGGTTTCAAAATACCCCTGGCATCTCACTTACTTCCTTGGTCTTTCAGGCAGAGGGAGCCCATAAAGGCTGGCCGGTGTCTTGCTCCGCACAGTACCATCGGAACTGCTGGGTGGGAGCACAGCATGGCTACCAAGCAGTCCCTCCTCTCATGAGTTCAGTGCATTGTGCTGACACCACCATTCCAGAAAGTCAGCGACTGCTTGCCCTCTTATCATTGAAATGTCCCCCAGCTTTGCTTCCCACTGCTCAGTTTGTAATCTGGCCTCAATGTACTCCTTTTGACCACATCTCCTCTCCAAAGTATTGGATTGGCCAAAAAGTCCGTATGGTTTTTTCTGTAAAAGAGAAGACACTTTTTCGTTTTCACCAATAACTTTATTGATTTGGATACTTTGAGTATGTTGGCTATCTCCTGCATAGTATAATGCTGATTGTTCTCAAGTACCGTAATGTCTCAATTTAATCATAATCAGCTTCAACTTATCTACCCAACAGTGGAGCAACGTCCAGCAAGAAATCTCCAGCACAGAACTTTGCAAACCACTGTTGACACGTTCAATCAGTCATTGCACCCTCTCCATACAATGCACAAATATTTTTTTGTATTTTTGTTGCATTTTTACCTTTCTTGAAATAATAAAGCATAATACGCCAAAAATGCTGCATATTTTTCTACCAATTTTGATTAGTTTTTTTTAATGCATACTGATATGACAGCTGTCCCATTCTTACAAAATTGTTTCAAATGAAGTTAAAAACAACTTAAGTGCTACTAGAGCCATCATGCAAAAAAAAACAAACCAACTTTTTGGACAACCCAATAAACTGTCCATGGAGCTCGAGAAACCAGTACTGAATTAAGATGTTGAAGTTTAAATGCACCCATTCACCCAGCAGGCATTATACTCTATAATGAACTTTTAACCACTTCATCAAGTATCTTTCCCTTTACTACCTTGTCCTGTTGGTCTTGATAATGGGCTACATATGTACTAAAATTTAATGTAAAGTTCTTCCTTTATAGAGTTTAATCACCGCCACCTCCTTTAGTATCCACCCCACACACCCAAACACTCATATACTTCAGGTGCTTAAGTAGCATGATGGCGACTTATGCAATTAACTCAATGTGTTATGTAGTTTCTGTCTGGTGAAACTACAGGGGACTGAACTTAAAATACTGGCAAAAGAAATCAAGAAACTACAGTACCAGGTCTGAGTGGCATGCTGTTCAAATTTCACTGGATCAATTCAAATGCATTTGTTTGTGGAATAAACATTTTACAAAATGGTTAGCATAATAATATGGGCTATTTTTGTTAGGATTTTAATTGTTTAAAGTCAATAATTTCATCTATATAATAATTTCATTCTCACTTCTTCAGTCCAGCAAAAGACAGTAATTTGATATCCAAGGGGCAATGAAAAAAAATCCTTGGCTTCAGGAAGACTCAAGCAATAGCAATACATTTTAACAGCCAAGGACAACATGGCTAAAAGCTATTGAGCACAGAGTTTCAGGTCACTGCAAGGTGAGGATTAGTCACAAATAGTCCCTTCACACACAGGCTAAAGCCACTGAGCAAGGACATGCTTCATAAACCACACACAAGCATCAAGAATTTTTCTTTCCATCAAGATGCTCTTTTTTTTCCTTACTACAGCAACATAATATCTGAGACTTGAATTTCTGAAAGGGATACAATCTATGTGTGTTCCTAAATAAATGTAGTTTTTTTTTTAATCACAATAAAATACATGTATATGCTAAATGTTTTTCTACCAGAAAAACTCATTTGATATTAAAGAAAAACAGGAGACATTTCACAAAATTGAAATTATAAAGAAAATTAATGTTAAAATTATTAGTTTGCAAGAGTTACTTTTACTTAGTAAGATAGTACAGATGATATATGCACTCAAATTTGTCATTATTATTCCACATTTTATTGTGCACACATACAGGCACCTTCATATAGTTAATCCATTTCATAAAACATCAGAAGCTATCATTCTAACTAAACCAACAAGGAAACATGCTCACAAAGGTGAAGCAATTTGCCCAGGATTGATTACCTGGCTCACAATGTACCATGTCCCTCCAAAGTTTATCTTTCTTTTCCACACTCACTCCCAAGGCAGTTTTTTTTTAATCCCTCAATTGTTCTATTTACACATTTTCCACCCTGGTTCCTTTTTGACAACTAAGTATCATGTGCTGGTACCACAATCACAGGGTACTCAGGGCAACAAGGTGATGTGGCCATGGCCTCAGAAGCTTCAGTCAGGGTAGCAGCAGGCTGACACGACACTGAGAAAGACTCCTTCAGCCTTCAGGCAGCTCACCCTGTGGGGGTGCTCCCTGCCCCAGCCTGACTTCACCAACCTGGCCAGTGCAGCTACTGTGAATCATGCAAGCTTTACACAAATCTCTTCCCGCTGCATTTTTCAAGAGGTAACAGATTATTGTTTAAAACATATTTAAATGTCATAAACAGGTCAGTTAAAAGGAACTGATTAATGAAAAGAAATAACACTTTTCTTCAATGAAACCCATCAGGTCTGTCCCAACTACAGCACACCTCCTTGTGGAACAAGCACACTGCTTGCAAAGTGTGTCTATTTCTGTGTCGGACCTTGGCAGAAAAACTGTTGCCAAGTTGTCTGTCTCCTGGTGAAAATAAATAAACCCTAAACTCCACAAACCAAGAATACTCTGTATCTTCCAGTAATTCTTCTATAAAATGTTTAGGAATATCCTTAACCCACAAACAGAAACCAAAAGGTAGCTGTATTTCTAAAAATCAGGTGAATGTGCTATTTAATCTACATGGTTTAGAAAAAACACAAACCAAGAAGGGAACAAAGTACAACAAAATCATGTTAAAGAAAACCGGACTAACTCAGAATCTGTGAAAATCTGAATGGGGTCCGAATAAAGATTAAGTATTAAAATTTCCCTCTATTTCCATGCTTAAAACATAATTTTTCCCCCTGAGAAATTCAAATCTCACATATGATGCTGTTCGTTTCAATTCCTCCAACACCTACATTTTTTCCAACATACAAATATCGGTCAGACTGGTTGCTTCCCTCGCCAAACCACTAACTCCAACCAGATAAGCACAACCATTCCCAAGTTCTTTTGATCTCTGAGCTACTAAGGGTTACAAATCCACACTGCCAGACTCACAACCAAGGGGCTCAGCTAAGATTTAGCATGAAATTCTAACAAATAGCTGTACTCTTTTAACCCTTACAGTCCTTGAAAAAGATCCACATTTTGATTCATAAACAGAAAAGCTAGTTTTATAATCTAGTAAATTATGTTTTCCTTTATAGAAAAACAACCAATGATTTCCCATGATTAATGTGGTTATTCACAGTAACTATTATGAATGCAGCTGTGTTGTCAAGGAGTTTTTCTACATGTTTTCTATATTAATATAAAAATTTGGAAAATATACATTTAAAAACTTTTACCAAAAACATCTTCAGTACAGTTATTGGCCTTAATTTTAATGTACATTACATTTTACCAAGATACATATATACTATTAAACCATAGAAAAAAATTAAAGAGCACAGTCTAATAAAAAAAAGTATGTTTATAATTATTTGAACCAATTAATATTTACATAATTTCCAGGTAAGTCCAAATTTTAAAAGTTCTCAATTAATATATAAAGTTATACATAATCACAACCCTACCACAAAGTTAGCAGCACCATTTAAACTTAAAAGTTACTACTGTTAAAACAGGCTTTCAACATAATTCTTAACATAAACATTTCATTCCATTTCCAACATTCAGGTACTAAATTATCACAAAGTTAAAATCTTGAGATGAATAAATTTAATCTATCAAAATTATTTTAATCCACAAAATTTTTTAAAGTCATGTTTCCAAACAGACTGCCAAACAATTTGCACATATAAACAAAAATGCAATTTAAACTTGTCACGAAAAATGTCACAAAGGCACAGCACTTTCCTTGTGAACAACAAGACACCATGTATTTCAGAATGGCCACTTACCACTTCTTCCAGTGCAGCACTTCGCCCAAAAGAACAAGTGAGGTGTGTGAGGCAGTTCACGAAGGACGAGAAAAGTTCACTTGGAATGGCAGTTAAGACGTTTCGAGGGAACACAGTTATCAGGTTGCTGATAATGCTGGAGATCCCCACAGCTTCAGAATCTTCTATTTCAATTCTACAAACCAGGTAACAAATGTCACTGGTGGTAAAAGGCAAGTTACAGTAACTCATTTCCTAACATGAAAAATTATCACCTATTCATTCATTTTTAAAGGCATGTCCCTGTATTAATTTCAAATTACTCATATAACTCAAAATATATAAAGGGGAAAATAATCACTAGGTTCTTTCTTCTACTACTGTTAGACATAAATAAAAACTTGAAAGTTCCTTTTTTCAGTGACAAAGGGCAAGTATACCTACCCATTGATAGTACTCAGTAAACCCTCAATGAAGTGTGCTAGGTAGTCAACCTGTGCTCCTTCATCGGGGAAGACAGGTCCATGCAGAGAAGCTAACTGGGCGAGGCACTGCAGAGAATCTTGTGCCATATCCGAATCCTCTCTGATTTTTCGATGTACCTGTTAGAAAGAATTACTAATCCATAAAAATAAATTCTTCTTTTGTAAGGGTCACGTGTCTATCATGCCAAATGAGGTAAGAGAAAACTTCACAGTAGTTGGTTATTTCTAGAATATTAATTCCTGAATTAAACTAAATTTGAGAATGTTCCTCAGTCTACTTTACATTATAGGCCATGATTTGAAACATATTAATTAATTTTAACTGAGGGCTACCTACATTTTGAAAGTTGAACTGTGTCCAGTATGTTATGACAAAGACAGAAACAGATGCCAGCCAGTGAGACGTACTGCTTCTTCTAAAAACAGCAACAACGACAGTCATCTGTATTATGCTAGCTATGCCTCGCTACAGCTCCTTGCTAAAGTTAGCAGGCAAGTTCAATTAGGAGTATACAGATGCTGCTTTAGTGGAAGTAAACAGTTGGACATAGAGAAAACTAATAATCCTTAGACACCCATTCATTCAACTGATACAAAGCACTCTCTCAATAACTCTGAGATTGCTTAAAATTTGCTTCAATCTCATTTTATCCTACATCATTAATAAATGCTAAAATATTTTAAAATAAGAATGGTATTTAAATTATATTTAAATCTACTTTAAACTTCAACTAGACTTTATTTCAGTGATGCAATATCAATGTGAAACACGTGGTATACAGTGTTCCTTATGAAGTACTCCCAAAATATTGCTCCCTAACTTTACATTGTTACTAATATTCTGATTTTAAAGATGCTTCATTTCTGTGAGCTGACCTAATTAAAATGGCAAAAGAAAAAAGGAAAGAAACTGTGAGAGTTATACAACATGTACTTGTGCAGGGGCCATGCTAATCTCTATATTGTTCCAATTTTAGTACATGTGCAGCCGGAGCGAGCCCTGCTTGTGACCATTTCCTACTTTTCAGAAGCATTTGAATTCTTTAGCCCTTCTTTTCCTACAAATCTCTTTGCTTTCTCAATGTAACATAATTTTAAACATTTAATTCTCTATTCGTTCCAGGTTATGTTCACTTTAACTCTGCAAATCCTAATAATTTCTTGTAATAGGACTGTTTCTGAAGCATTCACTGGTATACCGCTGAGAAACAGTGAACGGACACTAAAAAATCCTTATTCAACAGCTGATTTCATTAAGCTTTAATCCTGGAACTTCAGGGGGACTAAGAAATTTAAAATACTAAAAAGTCACAAAGTTAACTGATCTACTGACATGTTTAAAGTATGTTACCCTCTTCAGTCTACAACCACCACCCACGGATCAAATCTGGCCTCCAGCCCATTTTGTATGGCTGTGGTTTTTACATTTTTATGTGGCTGTGGGGGTGGGGTGAACCAAAGAATATTTCAACACATGTAAAAACTATACAAATTCCACATTTTTAGAGCAGTTAAAAAAGTCTTACTGGAACAATGCCTGCTTGTGGGGGAGGAGGAAACTGCCTAGGTTTTTTCTGTGTGACAATGACAGTGGCAAAGCTGAGGAGCTGCCTCCAAGACCGGAACACCCTAATATTTTCATGGGCCTTTTCAGGAGTTTGCCAATCCCTGTCCAGAACAACACAAATAGTCTTCAAAATATAGTCTATATTTTAAGTTTTATATCTTAAATTTAAAGTACAATACACAAATTCCTATATCCACATCTTCTAATTCATGAGCTTTTTGAATGCAATTTATTTGGGAGCTCCTTGTCTGAAAACTGTAACTAAATTTCTGTCATCATGCCCTTGCACCTAACAAACATTGAGCATGATAACGACAGATACAGTGTATCAATGGATACAATGCATTCTGGGACAATAATAGGTTTCTTCTCTGCCCAGAGAGCCAAATGTTGTTTGTTCCAGGTCTACAAGTGACAGATTGCAAGAAAGTATACCTTTGATGGAAGAACTAACATTTATTGTGCAATAATGTACTGTCCTCAGAGCCTACCTATGCTATTCTCTGAAATATGAGCCACATAAAACCCACAATAAACCAACAATTCTTATATAATATAGTAGATTTATGCCTTTCTTCCAATGTCAGTATTAAACTGAATGGGGTTGGGTGGGAATGAAGATAACTGTACTTGAACAATAAAAAAATAAAAAAAAAAAGAAAACTGAATTCATCACACAAATAGGGTAGCAGAAAGTTAAGGGAAAGCCAAGTCTAGCAGAGCAACTAGAGAGGTAAATGGTGAGTCAGGATAAGGAGGAAGACAAGGAGCAGAAAGAGCCAGTGACTGACTTCTATGGAACACACTGACCCTGAGATGTCTGTGGGCCTTCCAAACCCAAACTTCCAGTAAGCACTGGGATTATAAAGCCCTGGACTTCGAAGCAGCCTGTGCTGAATATAGACCTAGGAGTCATCAGTGTAGAAGTGCTGGCTGAGGTCCTATGTGGGGAAGGGGCAGCCCAAGGAAAGTGTATGCAGTGAGCAAAGTTGAGAACTGACATAGGAACACTACTATTTATGTAAGGAGCAGAGAAAAAAGAAATCCTAAATAAGCCAGAAAGAATCTGACAAAAGAGGTAGGAAGAATTAACAAGACAGTTTTTCCAACAGCTTATGGAAGAAAGAAAAATGGAGAAGTCTGTGAACTTCGGAGGGGCAATTAATACTTTAGGTTTAATGTATTCCTAAAATCAGGTAATCACTGTACTTCACCTTGATTCCATGCAACAGTATATTTATGTTTATCCACTCAATATAGAAATAGCAATATCTCATGGAAAACTGCTTTTAATTAGGTAATAAATTCATAGAAGTGAAAATCAACTTAACAAAAACTAAAAATTTAAAAAGATTAGTGACTGTCATTTTTCTAACAAATAAAATTTAAATTGTTTATAAACTGCTTAAGTGAAAGTAAGAGGCCACAACACAAAGCTGTTAAAATAACAAAGTGAAAAAGGGTTAACTTTGAAATTCAAAAGTTATTTAAACGTAGTCTTTCACAGCTGACAGGAGCAGCTGTCTGTTTTGTGGAGACAGCTGTTCAGATCTGGAGCCGCCATTTCCAGGGCTGCCAGCAAGTTTTCCACCTTTGCAAACTTCTGGAATGGGTCTACTTTCAGCCGAATGAACAACACAAACAACTGAACTTGGATCCGTATCCAACCACTTTCTGCCAGATGAGGCGGGCAACAGAATTTTTCAATTTAGCTATAATGACCTCTTTGATATTGACAGTGTTTTTATTCATTATTTCTGACTCTGAAAAGAGTAAAAGTAATGGTTACTCTGAACCTTTCCACAGAAAACACCTTAATGTTTATGTCCATGAAACACAGTTCTAACATCAGTAAATACTATTTTTAAAATATGAAAAGGTAAGAAATTATAATTATTATTTGGAATTAAACAATATAGCCTTTTTTCAATTGATCTTTATTTGGACCTTTGCCCTAATCATTAAATCTAACTTGTATGCTCTCACTGTAATAGCACTCAGCCTCCAAAACACACACACACACATGCACGTGTATCTTTCCCCAGCTTCCTACTATTATATTGTAGTTGTGGGCAAACATGGAACAGAACACTTACTTCTTTACATTTACCAAATAAGAAACAGCCCTAAAGTCATAATTCAAATAAAGTGTATGCAATAACTCTAACTTCTCCCATATCTGATAATTCATACCTAAAAAGTACAATAATCTAGAACAGCAGTTCTCAAAAGGTGGTCCAGGGAAACCTAGGGGTTCCAGGACCCTGCCTGATTGTCTCAAAAGGCAAAACATTTTCCTACAATACTAAGACAGTATTTGTCTTTTCCATTCTCACTGTCACACATGTATACAAGTGGAGTTTCCCCAAGGCTATACATGGTATACAATACTTCAACCAACTGAACACAGAAGCAGATGAGATCAGCTGCGTTATATTAAACCTGACATTAAAGAGATTTGCAAAAATGTACAATGCCACTCTTCTAATTTTTTTGTTTTAAAAAAATAGCTATTTGTTCATTGAAATATTATGTCACGGTTTGGTATCATTATTTTTAAATGAATTAATGATTTTGTGAAGTTCTCAGTTTGAATTTTTAATACGGCAAATATTAATAGTTGTAACCCACATAAACAAAAGCTCTTTGGAGTCCTCAATAATTTTTAAGAGTGTAAGGGGTCCTGAGACCAAAATGTTGGAGAACTTGAGCTCTAGGATATTAAGCCCTTCATAATTCTAGAAGGTTAATATCCTAATACCCTTCTAGAATTATGAAGGGCTTAATATCCTAATACACTTTCATAAATTAGCAAGAACATTTCTATGTAATTTCTGACTGAGTAGATACATTGATTAGAAGGCTTTACAGGACAAAAGCAATGTGTGTTGTTTCACTTAAGAAAAGTACAGAAGCATGCACTCCTTCAGTGGCCCTTCCTGATGCCTTTGGTACTGAAAGGAAAGGTACAACTTACTGTAAAGAAAAGCTCCATGACTCTGCTGTCCAGAAGGGTCTCCCGCCAGGACTCCGTTGGCTTTAACAAAACATTTTGTGAGGATTCAAACATGGCTATATAATGTCTGCCCAGTGATCTGGTGTCAAGGTCAACAACAATAACATTCTTACGTTGTCTAAAGTATAAATATACCCTAAATATAACAGGAGCCATCCAGAAAGAATGTAATGGAAACAGTTTAAGCCTCTTCACATATGCTACATAATTCATGCATGAAGCTTAGGAATAAAAGGCATTAAGTGCTGAAAAAAAGAATGCTATAGGAATGTACGATAACAGTGTCATTGTAATGATACGGCACACTGTGGGAATACAGAAACCTTGATGATCAGAGATCTCAATGGTGATGAGAGAAGGAAGAACACTCATGCAAAACAGATGCCAAAACATACACCAAACAAGAGAAATCAATTTCTGCATGTTTATCCTATCTTTCCCCGTGAACATCTTGTATTAGCTGAAATCACATATACAAATATGAGTCTAACATAGTCTACTTGGAAAAATAGCATTTCCTCAAAAGAAATATATTCAAGAACAAACATACATCACATGGGAGAAGAAAAACTCCCACCAGAGTAACCAAATATCAATTCCACACAAAGAAATGATTAGTTCACATAAAATTCTATCGCTGGCTCATTTAAACACCTGGCAGACTAAAAGTCAACTTCTATGGTGTTCAGGTGTCCCACATCACACACACTTCTAGCGTGTGCCATGACGAAGTAATAACCCCTTCAGCTAAAGCCAACCCTCAAACATGCTTCTAAAAGAACACTGTCTTTAGCATACATGTAACCATAATATATTTCTAAGAGTTTATCAGCACAATTCACTCAATGACAGTGACACAGTAACCAACGTCTTTCCAAACTAGGAAAGTTTGGGGGCCTAAGAGAGTAACTCTGCCCATCCCACTGCTCATCAAACACCCAGCTGACGTACACCCACTAGGATACACTCTTATCAGTGCGTGAGAAACTGAACAGGTTATTCCAAAACTGCATCTTGTAAAACTTAAATATTAAAACCCCAACTATTAACAGAAAAACAATAAAGGCAGTGATAATGCTTTGGAAACCATTTTTTAAATTTTACTGCTTAACCCCCCTTTTAAATCTCTGGTGTTATTCTATGTCTGAAGAGCAGGGCAGGGGCGGGGGGGGGGGGCGGTTCTTGCTAACTGTTTCAAAAGAGAATCTGCTGGCTGGACTCTGAAAAATCACTCCCCTCAATGGATGAATAAAAATGAGAGTGAAACCAGGTCCATCTCAGTTCCAGTTTCCTTCCCTCACCTGCCCCCTTGTGGAAGTGCAGGAAAGTCCAAAGCCAAAAGAAAAACTGTTGGAACTAAATAAAGTGAGCCTGAATTTAAAGAGAGAAAAGCAGCCCATGAATACTATTTTTGTTTTCAGCATGCTAATAGTTTCTAAGATCTCATATTTTCACTAGATACCTATGGCTGTTAACAATGTGACCTTCACTCACAATATAACACCCTGATAAATACCAGGTCTACATGTGGTTTTATTTTCCAGCTCCAAACCTAAAATGGGTTTTTTCTGGCATGAAGTTTGCCTTCCAATCAAGAAAGCTCATTTGTAAGGCACCTCATTCACAAAAGTCATGCTGATATTCTTCAAAGAACCACCACCCACCCCTATCACTAAGCCCAGTACTACTACCACCAATACCACATTCTCATAATAAAAATGCACATATTCTACTCTGTATAAATTGCAACCATATAACTTAATTACATATAATATCTTTCTACTAAAAAAAATATATATATATAATTATCCCCAAAAGCATTTTAATAAAAACAAACTTAAAAACAACAAAAAGAACAGGAGAATAATAAATGTAACAAAAATTTTAAGAACAGTGCTATTCCAACAAGAAATGTATGTTTTAGCCCTGGCCGGTGTGGCTGGAGCGTGGTCCTATAAACTGAAAGGTCATGGGTTGGACTCCCAGTCAGGGCGCACACCTAGTTTGCAGGCTCGGTCCCAGGCAGGGCTCATGCTAGAAGCAACCCATCAATGTTCATCTCTCACATCGATGTTTCTTTCTCCCTCTGCCCCTCCCTTCCCCTCTCTCTAAAGAACAAAAAACAAACAAAAACCCAGTGTGTTTTAGTTAGCAGATTGTGTCAGGAAACTGTTGAAGTTGCTGCCTCTGAACAGCAGGCCAACAGGACTCTTCTGTGTTACCTGAAATGAGTACTGTGAATGTTCATGTATTACTTTTCAATTTTATAAACTAATTAGAAGTATATTACAATGTGCCTAGAATACTCAAATATATTTAAAATAATGTAAAGAATTAGAGTAATTCAAATTTTAATATAGTATTATCAATTATTTTTTATGTGTGTAAGACCTCAAAATTCCACTCCTCCAGGTGATTCTCTTGGTTTGCAGGCCAGCTCTCAATCCACTGAGCTACACCAGCCAGGGCTCTCCAGGTTATTCTCAATGTACAATATTAAAATGAAACAAAAAGCCCTGGCCAAGTGGCTCAGTTGGTTGGGGTATCACCTAGTAAACCAAAATGCTAAGGGTTCAATCCCTGGTCAGGGCACATATAAGAGGCAACCAATAGATGTTTCTCTTTCTCTCTCTCTCACACACACACATCAATAAACATATCCTTGGGTGAAAACTAAAAAACAAATAAATTTTTTTTTAAGTACCATGAAAATTCAGAAACCTAGGACTGTTTCCTTCGGTCAAGTGTCTTTAATGGAAATGTTTTCCCGTGTAGTTCTTAACTAACCGGGCACTCCACTGCACCACTGTCGATGTCCTCCGTGACGTCATGAGGGCGGTGGCTATCAACGCGGCAGCCCACACACTGGGTCGTCCGCCGCAGGATCTCTTCAGTGATCCCAGAGTTCTCTAGCTAAGTATCAGTGCCACTTCTGTCAGACGATGTCGACAATCTCGTCCAAAGTAATATTCCCACTCTGCTTAATGTTTTTTGCTTCTTTCTGTCTTGTGGTGGTTCTCTGAGGGCTCTGACGATCACAGAAGAGACAGAAGGCACTGCCGTAAACTGACCTGCCTGTTCTGAAAGGTCAGTTTCACTGTATTCCTAGTCCCCTCCAATTACCAGTTACTTTGGCGATGTCATCACAACTTTTTTTTTTTAAGATTTTATTTATTTATCTTCTGGAGAGGAAGGGAAGGAGACAGGGAGAGAAACATCAATGTACAGTTGCTTTTCGTGGGTCCCCTGCTGGGAACTGGCCTGCAACCCAGGCGTGTGCCCTGACTGGGAATGGAACTGCGATTTTTTGGTTCATAGGCCTGCACTCAGTCCACTGAGCTACACCTGAGCTATCACAACTTTTTTTGGGGACAGACACAGGGGGCTGATCTTAGGGGGCCTGAGTACACATGGCAGCGACTTCCCACCAGTGCACCTCAGCTATATGACTCTGATCTCGTTGAGGTCAAACCTTGGAGGCAGCTGGTGTGGGATGAACCCCAATTCAGGAAGACTGAACAAAGTTGCACCTAGGCCTCCTTTAAGCTGAAAGCCAAAAGTCAGGACTTCTATTCTTAACACAGTATTTTAAAAAATGACATAAAGTTTGAATAAAGCAATAGTTTCTTTTAAAAACAAGAGTTTTAAATAAAGTAATAGTTTCATTTTGAAAGCTTTCAAAAGTTATAGTTTATAGTTCTACCTTCACATGTCATAATATCTGGACATTACATGGCTTCCTCTTTTTTATCCAAATATGTCACCAATAAAAGAGAAGTCTAACAATAAAGTGATTATTTAGTAATTAATAATTTATTATATGTATTATGTGCTTATCAGATTTTAGGACACTTATGAGTTACAACAGATTGACACAAGTTAAATAGTGATTATTTACAAAAATTTAGAGAGTTCCAGGCAAGATGGAGGCATAGGCAGAAACCCTTTGCTTCCTCACACAACCAAAAAAAAAGAGAATAACAACCAATTTAAAAACAAAGAAGACCCCAAACTGCCAGAAAATCATTTGAATGTAAGTCCAACACCAAGGAGTTAAAGAAATATTCATCCAGATAGGTAGGAGGGGCAGAGTGGGGCAGCCAGGGGAAAGGACCTGTGGCAAGGTGAAGGTTGGATGACCAGGCAGGCAAGGTGGCAGACCACATGGGTGATTCCACACTGGCGCACAGCTAAGCTGGGAAGAACAATGGGGGAGCAAGACGGACCATGAAACCCAGCATTTCAGTGTGGAGAAACTAAAGACTTAAAACCCCTGGCTGTAAAAAATCTGTGGAGGTTGTGGCAGTGGAAGAAACTCCCAGCCTCACATAAGAGCTAGTTGGAGAGACCCACAGGGTCCTAAAACATTCACAAACCCATCCACCTGCCTGGGAATCAGCACCTGAAAGGGCACAATCCTCTTGTGGGAAGCCAGGCCAGTGACAGGAAGTGAGGCGAGAGCAGAGCAAGCGTTGCTCCCTCACTGACCCTTCTCCCACATACAGTGCCACAGCACAGCAAAGAGGGTTGCTCCGCCCCGGTGAATACCTAAGGCTCCACCCCTTACCATGTAACAGGTGCCTGGAGTCAAAGAAATATGGCCCAAATGAAAGAACATATCAAAACTCCAGGAAAAAAACTAAGAGACAAGGACATAGTCAGCCTGTCTGATGCAGAGTTCAAAACACTGGTAATCAGGATGCTCACTGAAATGGTTGAGTATGGTCGCAAAATGAAGGAAGAAATTAAGACTATACAAAGTGAAATAAAGCAAAATATACAGGGAACCAACAGTGAAAGGAAATCAGGACTCAAATCAAAACAGTTTAGAACAAAAGGAAGAAACAAATATTCAACCATAACAAGAATAAAGAAACTAGAATGCTATAAATGAGGAAAGGCTTAGGATCTTCTGGGACAACTGTAAACATTCCAACATCCAAATCATAGGGGTGGCATAAGGAGAGAAAGAACAAGATATTGAAAACTTATTTGAACAAATAACGAAGGAAAACTTCCCCAATCTGGCAAAGGAAATAGACTTCTAGGAAGAACAGGAAAAGTCCCAAAGAAA